CTCCTGCTGCTCAGTAGAGCCGGTAGACGTCAGTCACCTCCCGGGTCTCCAGGGGCCTTCCTCTGCCCCCCACCCGCAGGGAGACTTCCTTCGGTCAGCCCCGTCTGAAGGCCCAGGAGGCTGGAGAAGGCCGGCCGCCCCGTCTGTCCAGCTGCAGGGGAACCACGCTGACTTCCCCACTTCTCCCAGCAGGGGGCGCTGGGGGGCCAGGTGCGGCTGTGCGGCCCTGGAGGTTGTGGGGGGCCTCGGCCTCAGGGAGCAGGTGGGAAGAGCTGAGACCTGCCCAGCTCGGCCCCCATGTGCACTCAGAGTAGCCCCGTGTGGCCGGGAGCTGGCAGCTCCGAGACCAGGCTGCCGAGACAGTCTGCCGGAGGATGGCCCGTCCCGACCAGGCGCTCTGGGGCACTGGTGCAGCGCAGGAGCCGCTTGGCCCTGGGAACCTGGGCCCGCGGCATGAAATCTCCTTTCACGGGAGGCGGAGGCTCAGAAGGGCCCGGCAGACGGGAATTTCTGAGCTCTTCGGGTGAGGCCCCCAGCCTCTGTCCACCCCCATTCAGGATGCTTTCCTTTTGGAGCAAGACGATGGGGGTTGTTTCCAGGCAGAAGGCCACGCTTCTGCGTGGGAGAGTCCAGCGACTAGCCGCCACTCACCCCCGGGAATGAATTAGCACCAGCTCCTGACCGAGCGGGGTGCAGGCAGTGGAGGCCCAGACACCAGTGAGTATAAACAGAGAATCTTATCCTGGATTTCAGGGGGCTCCATAGGTAAGGTGTACCCCACAAGAGAGCCCCAGCAGGCAGCAAAAACCCAGCTGACCCTTCTCACAGGCTTTGACTCCTGTCCCTAACGACGCTGCTCCTCCAGGAGCAGCAGGGGGCCTTCCCTAAGCTTGGACCTGCAGGTGCCTCCCCCACCCCAGGGGTCTCCACTCTGGCGAGGGTCCCCAAGGCGCAGAAGCTCTTAGTGCTGGCGAGCCCCGCTGATCTGGGCTTTCCTGCCTGTGCTTTCGGCGTCAGGCACGAGGACGGGGGGCAGGTGCGAGGCCAGGGGGCCCTTCCATTCCACCCCGGGCCTGTCAGCGGGGTTGGTCTTTGAGGCGTTCACATGCCTCGGGGCCACCCGTGACTGTGGGTGCCCGGCTCCCCAGCGCGGGGGGGGAAGCCCCTTCTCCCCCGCACGGCCTGTGCTCGCCCGTCAGAGCCGCCGGGTCCGCCCGCGTCCGTCTGTCCTCACGCCAGGCCCACGCTGTGTTCACTCCTGCGCTTTGCGCACTTGAGTCCGGCCGTGCGAGCCCAGCCTCGCTCTTTTCAGGATTGTTTTGCTGCTCAGATTCCCTTGAGAGTCCATGTGAATTTTAGGACGGATTTTTCTAGATCTGTGAAAAAGCACCCCCGGGGCTGGGCCGGGACTGCAGGGAGTGTGCAGACGGCGGGGGCCAGACCCACGGCTCTGTGGGCCCTTCCTGCCGCCCGGCCCTGTGTCCGGCAGGGCGGGGCCCTGGGCCAACGCAGCAGGCTCTGCTGCCGCGTCCAGGCCTGCGCCGGGCATGACAGAGCCCTCGCCCGCAGGCTCCTGGGCGCACTCCTCAGTTCACTACTCTTGGCTCCTCGGCCGCACCGTCACACTCCGGGGCTCAGAGCCACGGAGCCAGCCCGACCCTGGTGCCCGGCGCAGAGGACGCAGCAGGCCCTGCCCGCAGGCTGCCGCCAGATGCGAACCCGCGGCCGGCGTCCCCTCTAAGAGCTGCCTCTGGGACTGGGGGCTGGGCTCGTCCGGCCCGCAGCACCCCGCACTCCCCATGGCCCCCAGGGCCACCACAGCCACCTGTGGGCCCCACGCGGCCGGGCCCGTAGATGGCGCTGCCCCTCCCTGCGGGTAGAGCCAGAGTGGCCAGGTGGGACGGCGCATCCTCTGCAGCGCCAGGCGTTTGCCTGAGTCAGGGCCTGGATGAGCCCTCTGGGGGCCAGGAGTGTGTGCGAGTGCGTGTGTGCACGTGTGTGTGTGTGACAGAGGCAGAGGGGGGCCCACCTGGCAGTGGCCATTCAGGGAGCCCAGCCTGGTGGGCAGGGCCGCCCGCAACGAAAGGGAAATGCTCTGAGTCCAGCGGGTCGCGGGCAGGGGAGGGAGCAGACACCATCGGTCTCCCTGGGGCGAAGGGGAGGGACAGGTCTGGGACATGGTCCTCCCCGGCCCCTCCCCACGCACCCCTGCGCCACTGTGGGGCGAGGACGGCCCTCCCCATCGTGCCATCTCCGGCAACCTAGGTGCTGTGCCAGCTCCAGCCCACAGGCCTGGCGTCCAGTCCCTCCTTGGCCGCAACCTGCGAGGCGCCAGGCCCAGAGCCCCTGAGTTGGGGGAGCGGAGGGCGGGTGCAGTGGGGCCACACATGGGAGGGGCGATGCCAGGCGGGGCGGGCACAGAAACCCCGGCATGTTTTCTCGTTAGTGATGGTCTTGTGGAGGCCTCAGCCCTCGCCCCTCGTCCGGGGGCGTTCTGCAGCCCACCCCGCAGGTGAGCACAGGCTTGGCGGCCAAGGGCCGCACAGCAGAGGGTTGCCCTGGGGTGGATTTGTTCCCGGGCGCTGGGGCAGGTCCTGGCTCGCCGCCTGGCCAGAGCCCTGGGAACGCTGCCGGGTCACGGGGCCAGGACCCCCTCGGGTCGGGGGCCGTCTGAGTCCAGCCACACCATTTCTACTCGGGCCTCAGCTTCCTCACCTGCGACATGGGCCCCTGGTGGGCCTCGCCACTCCCGCTGGCCCCGCTGGCCCCAGCCCGCGCGGCCCCTCCCTGGAGGTGCTGACCCGGGCCAGTTTGTGCCGCTTGTCTTGGCTCCCCAGCCCTCCCGAGCCGGGCGGCTGGGCGAGCCAAGGGGCGGGGGCTTCTGGGGCTGCTCCCTGAGCTGCCGCCCTCCACGGACGGGGCACTGGGCGGGAGCTCGGCGTTCAGCAGCTCTAGACCCCAGGAGCGTAGCCAGCCCTGCCCTGCACTGCACCTCAGCTGCCCCGTCTGCGAGATGGAGCGGAGGGGGCTGCCTCATGGGGCTGCTGGACAGGCTGAGTCCACCTGACTTGGGCAGCCTTGGCCCGGAGCCTGACCGTGTGGGCCAGGGGCTGCCGGGACCAGCCACCTAGAGCCCGTAGGCCCCCGCAGCTGCAGCACACCAATTCTACAGCAGGGGTCTCAGCTAGTGGGGACACAGGGGCCAGCGCCCATGTGGGAGGCACCCCTGGGCTCCCCCCATCTGGCGGAGGCCAGGGCCCCAGGCTGTGACGACCAGAGATGCCCCAGGTATGGCCTCCTGTCTCCAGAGCGGCACCGTGGGCCCGGTGGGATCGCGTTCTGGACACTTGGATGGCAACGTCCCAACCTTACGCTGCGTCCTGCCGGCCCAGGAGCAGGTGCGCGGCCTGTGCCAGCCGCCATAGGCCCCGCAGATGCAGGGGGAAGCCTGTGGCCGCTCCTCGGAGACAGTCAAGGCTACTTCTCCCGCGTCCCCCCTGCCTGGCACCCTGGGGGCCTGACCCTCAGGGCCCAGCTACTCTCCTCGGTGCATTCACAAATGAGGAAACTGAGGCACGTAGCTGCATGAGCTCGCCCAGGCCCGAAGGCTCCTTGGCCCTGGCGGTACAGTCCACCCAGCTCTTCGGCCATCACTGCCCACACGCGGTGGTCAGGGGTGACCCAGAGGCAATTCTACGGCCTCTCCAAAGCCAGGCAGGATCCTCGCAGGGGGCTTTCTGGAAGACCCCCTTCCTACCCGACCATCTGGAGACCCACGCAGTGAGCAGGCCAAGCTCCCCACGCCCCCTCCCCCCAACCCCTATCCCTGGCCCTCAGCGGTGTCATCTCGAGAAGCCAAGCAGCCCCACGCAGCCAGCATCCTCAGGGACTAGAGGCTGCCCGCCTGGCCCTCAGACCCGAGGCCAGGGAGGGGCCTTGCTTTCCTGCCGTGTCCCTGCACAGCACCCTGCAAGCAGCCAGCTCCCTGCTCTGCCGGAGCCCCCGGGGGCCTGCTACCGTGCAGGCCTGTGCTGCCAGGAGGCGCCCCCCTGCCTCACGCGGGGGCGGCCTGGCCCGAGCGCCCTGTGCGACCCCTCCACACCCAGGCCCTCGGAAGGTGACTGCGGGTCAGGCTGGGCCGGGGAAGCCGAGGGCTGGTCTCTAACATGTGTGGGGGGCTGGTGCTGCTGCCCGGGGCGACCCAGCACCCGCTAGCAGGGTGGGTGTGGTGCGAAGGCGGGGGCCAGGCCCGCGAAGTCTCCAGTCCTTGGGAGGGGCAGGCCGAGGGCTCCCTCTGAAAGACTCTGGGCCCTGGCTGGTCTGGGGCCCCCAGAAGTGGGCCTGGCCCACGGTCTGGGCCCGGGAAATGCTGGACCCCGGCAGGCTGAGGACCGAGGTACGGGACCCTCAGGTGGGCCCAGGGAGCTCGCCCCACATCAGGGCCTCCAGGCTGGCCAGGGAGGGGCCCCGCGCTGCCTCAGCTCCTCTCCGGGGTCGTGGAGTCCGTCTTTTCTATGAAGAAAACTGGGGGAGCTTGGGAGACCTCGGGGGCGGGGAGGGGCGACCCACAGAGCATCTCTGGGAGGACAGCTCTCAGCAGGGGGCCAGCGAAGGAGGCCCGGGGTGTGATGGGGACAGGAGGACACCCCGATGGGGACAAGACAAAGGCTCAGGGTCCCTCTTGTGTTCTGTGGCTTCCGTGACTGGGGGAGAAATGGGGGGCGGGGTCCCCCGCCCCGTGGCTGGGGTGCACGGCCGGCCTTCCCATGGCTGTGACCCTGGCAAACACCAGAACCCGTGAGGCCGACCCTCTGGCCAGACCCCCAGCGTCCTGCCCGTTTCTCGCGTGGCGCTGGCACCTCTGAGCCCAGGAGCCCAGCCGCTCGCGGGGTGGCACCGCCCCTCCGCCGCTCCAGCCTGCGGATCCCGCCCGGGTTTTGCTGCCGCCGCGCCCTCCCCTCCCTCCGCCTCCCTCTCGTGGTTGGATCCCTCTTCTGGCATTTCCTGCAGCCGCGGCGCCGCCAGCTGAGCCCCCAGCTCCCGCACGGTAGGAGTGAGGAGCGGGCAGGGAGGGGGCCGGCGGGCGGGGAGGGGTGTGGAGGGGCCCGGGAGGGGGCTAGAGGGCCTGCGACCAGGCCCCCCAGCGTCCTGCCATCCACTGGCGGCCGGCTGCGGGGGTGGGGGAGCCCGGCACCGCAGCCGACCCAGAGGAGGGGCACAGCCGCAGCCCGACGTGCCGGTGCTGGGGGCCCCCAGGTGGCGGGGACAGTCCAGGGCCTGGAAGGTCAGGGCCGGTGGGGCGGGGTGCAGGGAGCGGCCCCCACAGCCAGTCTCCCCACCCGTGGGGCTGGAAGAGCAGGGCCGGAGGCCGCATCCCCGCGCCCCTGCCCGCCGGCCGCCCAGTCCCCCCGGGGTCTGCGGGGCGGGCAGGCCGGCGCTGCTGCCTCTGGATTTAGATTCTGAGTCTGTCCCACCGGGGCTGGGTTCTGAGGCCACCCTGTCTGGGTGCAAAAGTGAGGAGCTGCCTGGGCCAGGGAGGGACCCGCCCTCACCCACCACCCACGGCCTCGTCCCCAGGCCGCTGCCCCCAACGAGCTGAGTCTCAGGAACTGCCCTTGGACAGGAGCCCGCAGCGGGGTCCCGGGCCCTGGGAGGTCCCAGGCTTGCGGGCGGGGAGAAGGCGTGAGGGGCCCCCACCCGCCTGAGCTCCCAGGCCTCGGCTGGACTGTCTGCTGTCAGAGCCGCCGGGGTCCGAGGCCGGGGCGTGGGGGTGGGCTGGGCCGCAGGGTCGCGCTGCTCCCCCATCCGGCTGGGCCGGGCCTGGCGTCGCCAGCACTGATTGGGCCTCTGCTCTTTGCTGTCCTGGGGTTTTACCGGCTCCGGGTCTGCCTCCCAGGACATCCTTCCCGCGTGTGTCTGTCGGCCGAGCCCGCCGGGTGCCTCGGTCCAGCCACGGTGCCCCTGGGGACAGCCCCTGGGCAGGGCGGCAGCGAGGCCCCCAGGACGGATGTGGCGGCCTCTCCGGGCGGGACGTGCGGCTGGGGTGGGCCTGCCCTCCGAGCTTGGGCCTGTGGCGGGGGCTGCCTCCTCCTTGAACTTGACAGGCTGCGCAGGCGGACTTTGGGGCATCTGGCCGCTCCCCCGGGGCTGCGAGGCCCAGACCCTATTGTCTGCAGCACGTGCGGGGGCAGGCGGTGCAGGAGGCCCGCTCGCTGTCTGGTCTGGGCGCCAGGCTGTGTTTAGTGGAGGTGACAAAGCAGAGGGGCTGGGCAGGGCCTGCACCGCAGTCCCAGGCTGTGGGGAGGCTGCAGTGCCACGGCGGGCCCTGGGCAGGGCGCCGGACGCCAGCGGGAGGCTCCTCCTTCCTGGGCCGGGCAGCCCTGCTGAGCACAGCTGGCTCAGTCGCCAAAGGCCTGCCCTGGAGCGCCAAGTCCCACACACAGCCCCTGTGCTGCGTGGCTGTGCGGGAAGGTCCAGACAGTTTGGCTCCTGGAGTCTCATCCTAGAAGCGGGGAGAAGGATCCCAGGGGCAGCCAGTGGGGGGCTGGGTGTGTCTTGGGCAGCTGAGTTTGAGGCACTTGTGCTTCCTGCTGGTTCTGTGATCGTGCCACATGCACACACGCACGCACACAGTTGTGCAGGTGGAGTGCCACCCAGGTGAGGTGCATGCCCACCCCCTGTGCCGAGGGCCAGGCAGGCGTGTGCAGCCGCTGAGGAGCATGCACCCGCTCGGGTCTAGGGAGCCGGTGCCCAGGCTGGGGTGCTGCCCAGAGGCGGCAGCTCGGCGTACAGTGTGGGCCAGAGGCTCCCGGTGCTTGACGAGGGGTCTGCGGTCGGAGGGTGAAGGCACCCGCTGCCTATGGGAGCCAGGGCCCAGGTCACGTGCTGCAGCCAGGCGCTGGGGTACAGGACGTGACTGGACAGTGACGGCCCTGCAGTCACCAGGCGTGCCGCCCTGGGAGGGGGCGGGGACAGAGGACAGAGGGCTGCCGTTGGTGCCAGATCCGCCCTTGCCCCACGCACCTGTGGGTCCAGGATGCAGCTCTGAGGCTGGAGGCTGAGCTCCCGGGGGGCAGCGGCTCCCGTGCCCTTGGCCTGCTGGTGGCTCTGAGGGCCCTGTCTCTGGGGTTGGTGGCATCTTGTCCTGGACCTAGGCTGGTGCTGTTCTCCACGCCTTGGCACTGCCCAGCCTGGGCCAGGCGGCAGCAGTGTGAGGCGGCACATCCTGGGTCCGCCCAGGGAAATGGGCGCCCGCTGTGTTCTGGACAGCGTGACAGAAAGCCAGGGGTGGCCTGGGGGCACCAGGACACAATGACTCGGGCTCAGGTCCAGCAAGGGAGCTGGGGGAAAAGCCCTCCAAGGTCAGAAGTTGCAGGACCAACTGCCACTTCTACGGGCCCCCTGGAAGTGCTTCAGGGGTCCCCACGGGGGGATCCCCACGACAGGGTCACAGAGCCGGCTGTGGGATGTGGGGGGTGGGGCGCTCCCTGACGGTGGGGAAGGGCCTTGGGACCCAACCAGGGCCGTCAGAGAACTACCAAGCCCTCCAGGTGCTGGGGCTGGCGAGAGGCAGCCCCGGAGGTCAGGCCGGCGCCGGGCAGGCCAGCTCCCGGACCTGGGCACCCTCGGGGTCTCCGCCGGGAAGGTCAGAACAGCTGGGCGGAAGCAGAGGCTTTGCTCAGCCCCCAGGCCTGCCCCACCCCACGCCGCTCCCCTAGCTCTGGCCCCGAGGGCCACAGACACCCAACTCTGCAAGGAGACTCCCCTTTTCTCCCCACCACCCCCCCCCAGCCCCAGGCATCTGGACCGTAGCATCCTGGCAACTCACCCGCCCTCGGAACAGGCCCAGGCCCCTTCCTGTGCCCACGAGGCCCGACGCCCAGTCCCCGCCGCCTCCGCCAGCCCCCCGACACCCGGCTCCCGCTGCCAGGGCCCCGAGCCGGCTCCCTCGCCGGGTCCCCGCGTGCCCTCCCAGAGCCGCCTCAGCGCAGTCTCGTCAGAGACGCCCTCTGCTCCGACCTGGCCTTGGAGGCCCAGCGCGAGCAGCTGTGTCCCGCAGCACCGCTGTCTGGGGTGTTCCGTGCTGGCCGCCAGGCCGGAAGAGCTCCTGGATGTGGAGAGGCCTCGCCAGCACCGGGCTCTGGGGGTCAGGCTCTGAGGCCGCTTCTGCTGGGCATCCGCTCCCGGGTCAGCACCTGGCAGGCGGGGAATTGTCCCAGCCCGGGGAGGTGAGTGGCTGAGGCCCGCTGCCGTCACCCCCTGGGCCTCCCGCAGTGTCGCCCCGCATGGGAGCCCACCCCGCTCCAGGACACCAGGCCCAGCCCGCCGCCCTTGCCCGCGCCCTGCTGGTCCTAAATTAGAAACGGGGTGTGCGGCGTGCCTTCCCCGGGCGCAAGGCCTGGCCCGCCGTCTGGAGAGTGGGGTGGCCCGTACTGCCTCGTGTCCTCCGAGCCGGCTGCGCTGCGGAGCCGGGGAAGTTGTCCTGCCTGGCAGTGCAAGCGTTCATGAGGCCTGGCGGGCCATGGAGAGAAGAGTTTGGGGTCCCCTCCCAGCAGCTGCAGGCCAGGCTGCCCCTGATGACCAGCCAGGAGGCACTTTCTCTTTGAGCAAGGCCAGGGGACTTTGGACACCAGGCGGGGCTCTGCCAGAGGCAGGCATGGGCCCAGGACGGGGGGAGATGGCCCTGCAGGACAGAGAGGCCCCATCCAGTGGGTCGTGGCTGTGCCTTTGACCCTCCCTGGCTGGCTGAGCCACCAGCCGCTGCCCAAGCAACAGGCCGCTCTCCCCGGAGGAGGAGCTGCGGGCATGGTGCCCTGCCCATTAGGGTGACGAGGGCAGGCGGTGTGGTGGGAGAGAGGGGAGGGGCTGGTGGGGCGATGGGGGATCCTCCTCGGCGCCATGTCCCATTTACTGGGCACCTCTTGGGAGAATCCAACAAGGACACAACTCACAGCCCGCGGCTGGGCCTGCCCGTCAGGTGGCAGGGCCCCTCCCATGCTGGGGGGTGCGTGCAGCAGGGAACTTACAGGCCGGCCGCATGAGCGGGCCCATGAGGCTGCAGGTGGCTGCGGCCCCACCTCCCCTCACTGAGGCCCAGGAGCTCCCCGGGAGGCTGGCACGAGAGGCCACGGGGTGGCCAGTGGACACCCTAGCCGAACAGGGCACCGAAAGGCCTGAGCCCAACAGACAGGGGAGCCCTTGACCCCGCCCAGGCCCTGGGGGAGCCGGCGGCAAGCCAGAAGTTATGGGGGGCTGCAGGTGGACGGCGTGGGGAGCGGTGGACAGGATGACGGTGAGGGCTGCAGGCTGAGGGCGCATTTAGCAGGAGCCAACCCAATCCACGGGGGAGAGGCCGGGCAGGGCCTCGTCCGTATCTGTGGACGTGTCCACGGGGTGGGCAGTTTTGTGCGTTTGCTGCATTCAGAGAAGTGAGGGGAGCCGGCGGGGCTCACAGGGGGGTCCCGGCTCTTGGCTCTTCTCATTTGCCACCAGTTCTGTCACCCTCGGGTGGGGAGTCCTCGGGATGCCCAGGACGCTGGGACCCCGGCCAGCTGGTCCTCGCACGGGTCACCCTCTTGGCCCTGGGAGACGCACAGGCAGAGCCCACACCCCCCGCTTGGAACCTACAGGCCGGCGTGGCCCCCAGGTGCCGAGCACGAGAACTGTGGGCAGAGGCTGGGCCGAGCCTGGTGGAGCAAGCTGTCAGGTCAGCTGGGCTGGCCCAGGCATTGGACAGGCCTCCTGCAGGGTCCTGTCGCGGGTGGCCCCACCAGCCCCTGCTCGGTGGCCAGAGCTGGGCTATGCTGGGACGGGGAGGCACCAGCCTGAGCTGGCTCCCGGGGGCACCCGCACCCACAGGGGAGAGGCTGGGCCATGCACGGGGGTAGAGGCGGGGATCCTGGTGGCTTTGGGGTATGGCAGAGGAAGACGGCTCAGGGCTCAACCCCGGGGCAGAGCCAGCAGGGTTCTTTGCCCGCATCTCCCCGTCTAAATCTGAGCCCAGCACCGAGGCAGGGCAGCCGGCTGCTTGGGGTGAGGGCCGCACCC